CATCGCTAGTATGTTTGAGGCTGAGGCCATCGCTATTAGGTTGGAGGTCATTCATTCCTAAATTCCACTCCTCTCTCCTCCATCTCCGCTTCGCCCGCGCCTCCGCTGCCCCAAGTCCCTGTGGAGCCGCGCGAGCCGTGGCAGCGCCATCCGCTCCCGGTCCCCACAGCGGTGCGCCTTCTCGTAACAGCGCAGCGCCTTCTCCGTGCTTCGGCGACCCGGTGACGAAACACACCCAGCGACCCGTCGAAGGAGTGGGGTGAGACCCGGCACCAAAACAAAGCAACTCCGAGCTGTCCCCACCAGTTGTCTAGCTTTTTTTTTGGTGAAGTTCCCCTCCGCAACACCTGATGATCATGGTTTCGATTCTGAAGCTGCTGAGAGCAAAAGCTCCCCTTTGAGAGGCTTTCAACTTCGTCGGTCGACTGGGCCACTGGCATGATGGCACCAAACTAGTTCGTTTTCGACTTCAGCTCTTCGCCACAATATGGACAAACTACTATGGACCCCCCAAGCCCAAGGTTCGTTTTGGGAGGACTTCGTACTTCTTGTGCTTTTGATGCACCCCCGCATTCCCAAGACCATTTCTCAGTAGTAACAGTATGTAACAGTAGCTGTAGCTTCAGGGGTGATGGCGCAAACCTATTGCCACCAACACTCTATGCCAACAATGGCATATTAAATCAAAACACCTCTTGGAAAACCCTGCCATCTACAGTATGATCAAGTATAAAAGTTATACTTAGGTCAATCCACTGCCTCTCCTGGCTTCCATTCGTTCGGACTCGCCGGGGCGCTGTGCCGGGGCGACGTGGGGACTGGCCGGACACGAGAGGACTTGGTGGGTGGACTTGGTGGGGATATGGCACCCTCCCACTGACACAGAGGCGAAAACCCGTGGGAAAACCTCTGGTTTCTGAAGGAACATCGTCTTCCGATGGACCCATCGGTCCACTTCCATACTACAGCGAGTCCCAGGGTAGACAATGGGTTGACTGGCACGGACTGTCTCATCGAGATGGTTTGCAGCGCAGGACTCGGCCTCCACCTTGCGACCCATGAGATCATAGCACTGCGCCATGGCGCACCACATGCGTGCATCGTCTGGGCGGAGCATCATCGCACGGCGGTAGTAGAAGAGGGCGTAGTAGTGAAGGCCTCGGTGGATAAACATCCCGTCAACAACACACGTCTCAAGAATAGGTTACGTGAAGTTCTTCATTCAACAGACATCGTGGGCCTTCGATTCAATATATTAGTAAATAAAAAAAATATATATATATCACTACAGAGCCAGAACAGTCTAGCTGTCAAGACTGGCCAACATTCTGCACTTGAGCACTGCCGGACCCTCATAGACATGTTATATCATGTTATATTATGAAATGCTCAACATCAAAACATGAGCAATGAGCAGTCACAGAAATCTTGAATACTAGAACCATCTAGAACCCATTTCTCCGGACGGGCCAACAAACACCGGTGACCTGCACGTTTGCGGGGCGAAGTCACTGAGCAACTCATAGGTTTGCCCCAAGCCATACCACGCCCGATAGTCCCTCTGATTGAGCGTCACGGCTGTCCGGTAGGCGTCGATGGCCTAGGGGGTTCGGTCCGTCCATGATGGGTGGGCATGGCCCGGTGGAGGGCGGTGTGCGGGGGGCCAATGTGCAGGTGGCTCAGGTCTCCCAACCAGATTTGGGTGTTACCAACGTCATGCATGGCATCCCTTCGCGGAAGACATGTCAAACCATTTATCGATGGTTCTTTGGGTAGTGGTTCGGGTTTCTGTGCTCAGTCTAGTCCAAAATGTCCAAAGCAGTTCGACCACTGAGATTGATTGCCTGACGTGGGTAGGGAATCCATCTGCAGGGCCCAAAGCGGCCGGCTCCTTCCGATGCAAAAACCACCAAAAACCTAGTGAATCCATGATCAATTTTAGTCACATCAAATGGAACACCAAACAAACAGAAAGAAACCACCAGGACCAGCCAAAGGACCAAAGGGCAGGGTTTTTGGATGAAAGCTACTTCGGCAGGAGGGTCTTTAAACGACCTTTTGGGTGGTGCTGGCACACGCTTCCGTAAAGAAGTTTGACTGTGACTGACATGTCGTGCTCTCACCATGTGTTCTGGTTCGTCATGGGCTTCAGTCTGGCTTTGGTCTTCACTAGTCTTCACTTGCCACATCACCCACTTCACCAAGCTAGGTCCGCCAGCTGAGGCCACTGAGGCCACTGTCCTTCCTCCCTCCGAGCTGCAGCCGGCGTATTCTTCATCTCCATGAACTCGTGACCCATCAGAATCCACGCTGGAGTGAAGTGCCGGTTGAGGCTCAAGGCTCTCCTCAGCTCCAGCGCGGTTGCACGCGTCCACGCGTGCCGCTGGCGGTAAAGAATACAGGTGTTTTGTTTCGGCGCTGCGCTTCGCGGGAAGAGGTGCCCGAACTATTCCAAAATCAGGAAGCGCAATCGCTTCCCTGCATGTTCAGCTCAGAATGTCAGGTCCAAAAAGAGGATGCCATGCTTTGGCGTAATGAATCGAAACTGCGAAAAAAGTCGGAACACGGATCTGCGGCCCAAGTCACTGGAAGTAAATCACCGCTTTCTCGTGCTCCCCCTTCAGGCTGTAGTAGTTTCCAATGATGCTACAGGCTTCCGGTGTGTACTTGTCAATCCTCAGCCGCACCCAAATCCAAATCACCGGAGTCTGCACCTGCTCCAGGAGGCCCCCCCCAAAATGCCCAAATCAGTGACTTCGTTCAAATCCACCACGGCGCAAACAGGCCGTGGATGCGTCACAAGCATGGGACCAGGGAACATATGCCACCCTATTGATCCCCCCAACCACACCAAGTGCCAAGTGATCGGCTGGCAGTCCGCATGGTGCCCCGGCCCCGGCCCGGTCCCCATCGGCCGCGGGTTCGGACCAAAAGGCTTGACCACGTGGCGTGCGAGGTGGCTCAAAGCCGCAGAGCGTTCCTGGCGGGGGCGGTGGCTGGGGTGGTGTGCGCTGGTGTTGCCCAAGTGTTCAAAAGGCATGAATTTAGATATCAAATACTTGGTGTGATCGCAGCATTTTGTCGAACATCAAGGGAACCAACAAGTGCGAGTATTACTTTAACATTCAATTTAACAGTTACATGTATCATCGATGGTGAGTTAAAGATGTTCATTACAACATGGTTGTGTACCCAAACGCGTAGTATCATTCATTCTGTTCAAAACACATATGTTTCAAAGTTAAAGTGCATCCATTAACCAAACAATGTTTGGTGTTAATCAATCACAGATGAGTGATGACACCTATGGAACATGATGTGTAACATGTGTGAAGTCCCCCCTTTGGTAGATAAAGCGAACGATGGACCGGTCAACATGTTATCTACTTCAGCACCACTTCAGAAAGTCTGTCATCTCCAATGCTGTCAAATGTTGCTTGATGCCTTGCCAGAACTTGGGAATGGATGTGTTCATGGGAACCTATCACCAGCCCCGAGGCGTTCTCAGGCTTGCTGCAGAATCGAACCGACTAAGGCGATGTCGCCGGAGGGCGGGGAGGGGGTGGTGGGACCAGGTCGGTTCTGCAAGGAAAACAGGGCCCAGGTCGGAGGCCGCCCACCTTCACGAAGAGGATGTTGGAATAGGTGTCCAAGGAGGTGAGTCGATAAGGATCTCTCTTCCGCATCTCTTCAAAGGCTGCTTGAGAGGCGTCGAAGCTCCTACAATCTGCCAAAGTGTTGAGGATGCGTTTTTGGAGTTACGCAAGCAGAATGGTAACAACAAATTCATGTGATCTATGTTCATTCTTTATCTTGGATTGATTTCGGTCAATGATCCCCCCACATTGATCCTGATCCTAACCAGAATCTTTGGCGATCTTTTGCTTATAGTTTCTTTTGTGTGTTTCTCTTTCAGGGGCTGTCAAACATCAAGCTTCCTCGTCGTAACTGCAGGGTCCGCATCGTCGCTGCATGGATCAAAATGGTACACTGGGTGATTGATTCCTTTCGTGGCCATGTCAACATCTCCTCGTGTGTCGTCACTTGATCGGAACGTCCAACCCCACGCAGGCATCTAAAGCTTGGAAAGGAGAACATGGGCAGTGATACGCTAAATGATCCAGTATATTCTGGACAAAGGGCCACAGGCAGGGGACCCAGACTCATCTAGATGCAAGTCTTCGATTTTTGTATAAATGATTATAAATGCTGCCTGTATTTGTGTACTTGGAGAGATGTTACGCAGGTTCTTTTCATTGTCTCAGGCGAGCTAGCCCACTTTCCCAAAATCTCACAGTCGTGAACAGCATCAACACTACGAGTAGCAAGATCCACTGCCTCATGTTGTAGAAGCAGGTCGCCAGCTGTGATGTGAGGTACGACGAGTCTGGGAACGTCGCGCGGAGCTGCAAGTAGAGGTTCTTTGCGCTCTCATTTCCTCACTGAAGAATACTCACTTGCATTCACTGAAGCCACACGCCACACGCCGCAAGTCTAGGTGTTAAAAAATGCAAGTAGTGCTAAAGACTGTACATAGCACTACCAGCACCATCAAAATGACTACACCCTCCCACATCCTCAGATGGTGGTCAATCCTTTTTGCAAGTCAGTGGCAACAAGCTTGAGGAGCACTGATTAGTTCTTCATGGCCCGTGCTTGTCTCACGCTGCCAAGGTACGCTGCAGCTCTAGTTCAAAAGCGGCCTCGAAGAATTGGCTCATCCAGTGATTGGGCAAATTCCTTAGCCGACAGCAGCTTGCTGACGACAGTTTGCAGTTCAGCTGCTCTGAATTGCTTGAACACGCGATGAGATGTCTCTAAACCCTCAACAGAGGGGGCATGTGCCGGGCCAACCGTTCGAACGGCTTGTAAACCTTCAGGAGCACACTCCCCAAGCATCCCCAAAACCGTAGCCTTCTGCTCCCAACTTTGGGCCTCCGTGCCCCACTCCCCTCCGTTCCTCCAGCGGGGCACAGGTCCTTGCGGCACTCGTCGACGTCGTTGAGGTCCGAGGAGATGCTGATGATGTCCTCGGGGCGAGTGGAGCGCGGAGCTGAGCATGCTGTGGAGCTGAGGCGGTGCAAGGCATCTGGAGATCCACGTGGAGACCAGCTCCAAAGGCTTAAGAAATGGTCAAGAGCTCCAAGGGGATGGTCCAAAAAGGTTCTTTGGAACACACAAGTGGCCTAACTGCACCCTCAACATCCCTTGACACAGATGGGTGGCCAACAGAAACCACGGAGTCGGCAACCTGCCACTCAGAAAAGGCGCAAACATCTCCCCAAAACCGACCATGGCGTGGCCTTACATCCCCACCAAAACCCCCGCGGTGCACTGCGTATCTTGCGTTGTTCGCCGTACGGCAGCCGTCACACGCCGTCCAAGGGTCCAGCCAGGCAGACCAGTTGCAAGGGAAGGCACTGACCTCACGGCAAATAGGCCATAGCGAATTGGAGGAGCTTCAAAGGTTTCCGTTCCAGTCGAAGCCAAGTATTCAAGAAACCCATCGCTAGCGACCTGAAAATCTGAGTTGGCAGCCGGAAGCTCGCTCCACCGGCTAGCCGTCCCTTTGTAGTCCAACCACTGCGGTTCCGCTTTGTCTAGTTATTCCCGCCTTGCCAACTCCCTAAGGCCCTAACACGAACACACTGGCACTCCCCTCGCTGCCAGTGCTCCCAAGATCCAGCTTCCCTAAGAATTGACTTCATTCAGACGAGGCACCGATTCCAGCAAGATCCTTCGCGCTTCCTCTTTCCGCTCCAAGCCCTTCAACGTGATGCCGTACAAATAGAGGCCTCGACGTCGACCGCACCGAAGCCGCTGCACCGAGGTGGGAGCGGACAACGCCAGTGACTGCAAATGAGGGTGTGAGTTGCGGGTGACGTCCCGTTGATCACGCTAACTGAAAAAAAATCCAAGAAACCCTATTGGGCCCAACTTCATCAGAAGGCACTTAGGAAAGCGATCTCCCTCCTAAGAAGGCTAGCTCACCAGGGTGTGATGCACGACCCAAGAAGGCTATCTCACCGAGCTAGGCGGGACCTACGACACCACCCGTGGGCCACGTGACCCAAACCGTCCAGCTTCTCATGCTGGTAGAGCATCGCCAGCTCCTCCTCCAGGTCCTTCCTTGGATGCGCATCAAAGGCACACAGCCGCAGCATTGTTACTGCGTCCCAGATGCTTCAAACGAGCTGACTCGGCATTTGTAACTTTGGTATGCTTTGGTTCCATCTTTATGGGTGACACCAGCGTGAACCGCCTGGCTGGCCCCAAATCCAGATCACCCCAGTTCTGGACTCTGCAGCTTGCTGCTTGGAAAGCACGGGACGAACATCCCGAGGGCACCCTACTTGTGTAGATGGGGGTTGGCAGTCTAAACAATCCGATTGTTGGGTTATGAATTGGGTTATGAAGTGTTCTGATGACGGATGAGATGATGAAGGCATACCAAAGACGAAAACACACCAGCCCTAAGTGACTACTGACTGCTGGAAGCAAGCACCTATTGTCCCCCCGAAACCGAGCAGGACGGGCACCTGTGCTTGATAATTATTTCACACTTCTTTTCACCAACTGCCAACTGAGCTTGGGGAGCAGCTCCTCAAGCTGGTGCTGTTCTTTCCAGAGAGGCATCTCCTGAAAACCAGCTGCCCCTGCCCAGCACTCCTGCTTGGCAAACGAAATTTGCCAGGGATCAGTTCAGGATTTTTCACCTGACCCTTCTCCACCTTGGCTTCTCCGGCTTGGCCAAGCGTTCTCTCGGTCTCTCTCGGCTCGATTGAACACGTTCTCACCGACCTGCTTGTAGTCAGGTGACCGAATGGTTCGGTCAGCGCGGTGATGCATGACCCCAACAGATCCTCTTCTTTCTGCTATAGCGCTGGTTTCGCATACTGAAGTGCAATGGACGATCACCGCATGACCCCACTCAAAAAGAGGACGGGGCTTGTACGATAAGAGGAGCTGCACACCGAACATCACCCAATCACAATGTGGCAAAACAGTGGCACGAAGTTGCACTAAACGGTGGATTTCAATTCCTCAAAGGCGAGCATGTCACTGGTTGATGCACTCACTCCCCCTTTAAAATACACTGATATTGGGTCTATCCTATTACCTGTAACGATGGATGATGATGGTTATATAGTAAAGGCCTTGTCCAAAAAATAGTAACAATTGTTTGCTGACTGTTACAGGAATAGGACAAACCCAAAATAGATATATACACACATATATATATACACATACTATAGAAACCGTGCGTTGGGTTTGGATACTTCCGTGCCCAAAGCCGTGGTCGGCCACTCCGCCAATCTCCAAGAAACCGGATCGGGCACTTCTGCAATCTCCTCCTCCTTTCGCTTTTCTCCGGCCATGTACAAGGCATACGACCTCAAAAAACGAGGCAACAGAGACAGCAGGAGGGGCTACTAGAACTGCAACGGGAAAGTGGAAGTGGAAGTGAACAGGAATTCAAGAGTGTCTAAGATGGACTACACCGTGACAATGCCCAAGACAAGTCCGAAAGATTGAAAGTGGCTTGCTCTCTATCCTCCGCCCCCCGGGCCAACGCAAAAAGCATCAAGAAACCTTCTGAGAAAATGGTGGGGGCTGAAGAGGCGTGGATGTTGCACTAGCGTAGGGGTATGAACCCGAAATCAATTGAGTTTCATGTCCAAGATCTCTTAAGGTCAGCACGAGCGAAACAAAGGGACACGACTTGAATTACAACTGGAGGTCGTGGATAGAGACCTGCACAAACGAACATGTGTGATACCTCGTTGGAGAATGCTGTAGCAGCGTTTCAGATTGGCCCAGAACTATCATGTGTACATAGTCAACATTTATGTACCGTATACCTATCCATACCCCCGAAGAAAGAATTTTTGTCAACACACAGTTCTGGTAGGCAATTAATGCATGCTGCATAAAGCAGACGGCGCATATGGGCCCTCAAATGGGAATAAAGCACCAGCGCCAGCGCCATCCACTTGGGTCACCATTAGCAACTTTTATGTGGCTATTGCGGGTGGGAAGGCTTGGCATAGTATTCCGAAACCTCTTGCTACACAAGCAGTTGCAGTACTAACTGCAGTACTAGCATCAATGGCGCAGCCATCTTCCAATGTGGAGAGGCATGCCGGAACTCGCCCCAACCAGCCATATAGTTACATCCTATCCAAAAATTATCTGGGCGCTACATGGGTTAAGTCCAAGAGAAAGACACAAAACGCGACAACCACCACAAGGGGCCCCACCAACACGGCTCTATGAGCCCCCAAAATCCCCTGTGTGGCTCACTGGCCTAGAACTTGAACAATGCTCCCCCATCCTTGACACCCCTTCGGATGCGAACGCTCGCTTGCATGGCCGAGCGGCCGGAAGAAGATGGCGCAGCTGGAGCGCATGCGGACGCCCTCGGGGAGAAGCACCGCAGCAGCCCGGCTATACTCGCGCATTTGCAGATGGGCCTGAAGTCGGACCAAGGAAAAGACCGATCCTCAGACCAAAGGGTCGAAGGGTGGAGTTCTAGGATGTGATCTCCGGAGCAAACTTCAATGGCACAAGGGTCTTGTGTGGTCTTCCTGGTCCGAAGTTGGTGTTTTCCTGCATGCGGCTCCGGCAGTTTGGAACAGAGCCGTCGTTGCTGGGCTTTTCGGTGTCCTCCGTGATTCATCAGAGCCCAACTGCCCACCTTTGCCAGCATCACAGCGCTCCAAGCTTTCCCATTTTCGGGCAACGCCAGGGGATTTGGAGCCGATGCATCTTCGCCACCTCTTCCCGTGCGGTCTTCGAGCGCGCGGAAAGACGGAAGACATGGGCGCTGAGGTGGGTGGAACCGCCAAGGTGGATGGACGCGGTTCCAGGGCGGCGAAAGCCTCAGAAATCATACAACCGGGAAAATCAACATGGAACTGATAATGGACCTTTGGACGACGGTGTTCCTCTAATTTCCTCTACAATCCAGTCATTTTGCAGGTTCCATGACCTCTTCCAGGGCGTTCATTCTCTTTCAACATGTCTTGGAAGCATGCAACTGTGGATGCAGAAAGAGGGTTTCTCTTGGAGCACCAGGCCCGCCACCAAAGCTTTGAGAGGCGAAGGGGCGGTCGGGGGAGCACGGGTCGAAACAGCCCTCTGAGCGACTGGGAATTCATGGAGAGATCATGATCCATTTCAAGCCCCTTGTGTCTTGGGGGTGTCTTGGGGGTGTCTTGGGGCTCACCAGTGCACCTAGGATGCAGCAAAAGGACTAAGTGGCATGAACAGGGTTGATGCACATGCTAGACAACCTGTTGCTCTTGTGTCCTCTTCCTGCAATTTTCTTGATGGAAGGCTATTCAACACCCTGCCCAGAAACTAAGAATTGTCAACCTCAAGATCCACATGCAAACCGGTCTTGCCACACTTCAGGCATATAAAGGACCCAATTTTGAAGACAAGAACTTGTGTGCACTCGAGGTTCCAAAAAGGAAGTCTATTGATGAAGGGTGAGTGGAAGATTTAGGGGGTGGACGTGGGTCCCCATCATCTTGGCCATTACAGACGCATTCCCCGATCCACCTGGCAACGCCGCCAGAAGCTCCGCAGCCCACTGGGCACTGCTCTGAAGCTCAGAGAAGCCTCGGCAAGTGTGACCGAGAAGAGTCCAGTGATGTGTGTCAGCCTGTGCTTATCCCCAGAGATTTCCATAAGTTATGTGGATCCCTTGAGCCCGGGCCCTATGGAGCTCGCGGTCAAGGACCTCTGAAGGTCCTTGCTGCTAGTAGCTTCTTGCTACTAGAAGTAATGGCCTCCAACCTAATAGCGATGGCCTCCGCCCTAGTAGCTTCTTGCTACTAGTAGTAATGGCCTCCACCCTTGTCTCCAGAGATTTCCATCAGCTATGTGGAAGCCTTGAGCGCTAAGGACGTCTGAAGGTGGCAGAGCCAATAAAAGAGTCGGAGTCTCTCTCCTTCAGTCCTTCCCTTTCCTCTCCCTCTTGCTCATCGATCCTGAAAACCGTCTTAATTTCATGAAACTCAACAACAATGATGCCTCTAGGTAGTGTCTACTTCGCTTGGCTTGAATCCCAATATATCCCAAGCATAACGCTGGGATCTCCAAACCCCTACTCTTCATCATTAACCCAATTCCATCACTGGGCACCCCAATCAATTCAACCACTGGCCACTGGCCCAAGAACTTAGGACGTCCAACCACCTCTCGTCCCCTCTCACCGCCCAACTGGAACTCCAGGGCACTGAGGGCCTGCACCGCGCTTTGGAGCTCGCTCCGGAGCTCCGACGCGCTCGGCCAGGCCAACATGGGCGCGCGCGTTCGCGCGCGCTGTCCGTCGCTGGGGAGTTCGCTGTGGGGTCCAGGGATTTTCGGGTGGGGAAGGGGCGGCATCCACGGCATTTTTGAGATGAATATGATGAATTGAAATCTCCAAATGGGTCAAGGGCGAATGGTGGGTGGGGCCCTGCCCAAGTTTTAGCTTGATGTGACTGCTAGCCCATGGCAACTCAACTGGGCGTTTCTCTGTCCAAGATGGACTTAGCCTTAGCAAAGGGCGAATGGTCCTGAATACGGACTTCTCTGGAAGTTCAGCTACCGAACTGAACCTTACGGAAGCAGCACAATCTTAGATTCTTCAACTGGTGGGGTGCGCTCAAAAAGCCATTTGGCACTTCTACTGACTTCTGAAGATCTTGCATTTGGCCCGGCATTGACTTCCACGTTGCTGTCGATTGCTATTGGCCAATTGTATAGCCAAAGGGGTAAGCTGAGCCTGAGCTGACACGTCGAGCACACAAAACCAAGAACATTCAATTCCGCCCCCCCACTGCCAGAGAGAGAGAGAGAGAACCAATCAACCCATGCACTGGGAGGGAACTGCATGCAAGCGCGTAGGTGGAAGCTTCATAGCTGTTGAAGATGTATAGGAAATCTGCACTGAAACTGCGAGGTGTAGACCCAGTCTCCCTCATTTTTTGCCTGTGACACCTGCTTGCGCCATGAAATCTTGCAACCCGGTCATTCACATCAAACCGTGTAGATCCAATGCAAGATTCACCAGGTCAACGTCAAGCTTCCTCCATTCGCCTCAGCCATCCTCCGCCTCCCAAACACCTCCCAAACCATCCGGCGCTGCACTCGGTGACCGCGTGGGTTGGAGAGGTAAATATAGTATACACATGTATACACATATATCTCACTATATGTGCATAGAATGCAGGTATATAACGGTATATGCATACAGCCATTACAAGGAAAAGTGAATTGTGGATAATCATGCACCAAATGCTCTCATTTTTACTGGGTGGGGGCAGAAAGTATTCCCTCCATGTTCAAGCTGTACACAACTCTGCACCCGCTCCTCCTTCTCAATTCCAGGCAGGAGCTCGAAATAGAACCAGTCAACACCTCCACAGCCGTCACTTGCCCACAGAAAGAATCTGAGCAAGAGAGTCAGCCAGAGTCAGCAATCTGTTTCAAGCCTGGACGCTGTAGACCTTATATCATAACTTATATCTGGATTGGAGATCTGGATTCTGTCATGTTTTGCTTTTTATCTATCTAGATTGTCCAACTACTCTATATTCATCCCTGTTGCCCAAACACATCAAACAGCCAAACCGAGAAACTCTTTGGATGTCATGTTCACCTAAAGAAGAATAAACACCTCTGCTCGTAGAACCACTCCTGAACCTGCCCGATGCTGTGCACATTCCTCGACTCCGATGAGGAACCCTGGCCTCCTTCAAAACTGCTTGGGAGTTTCCCACTCTTCAACATCCGTCAATCAAACACTTGCACAGCACCTTCCAGTAGTTGGTGTTCACCAGATTGGCACCAAAATATTAAAGCTCTTCTTCACAACTGGGCACCCTCTTTGTGGGAAGCCTACAGCAGAACCCACAGCTGTGACAATTTGTTGATAAACTTATGAACCAATCTCGAGCTTCTCACGGACAGCCTTGAAATCAACCCCAAATCATTTTTGGCCATCGCCTTTTTCACTTCAAGCCTTGGCCTTAACTTCAATTAGACCCCCACTTCTTGGGACACGTCCAGAATTAGTGCTCTCCAGAGCGGGACAGGGTAGACCGGGTAGACGTGGCTTTGGGGGTTGATTCTTCTGTGCGACCCGCTTGGCCTCTTACCTCCACACAAGGGGCCCCCCACCTGCTTGAATCTTTGGAGCTGCGCGCTCCAAATCCTGCAGAGTTGTTTGGCCACAAGTTTGGCCAAAGCAAAGGTAGATCAAAATGTTTTGGAACTCAGATTGTCCCAGGATTTCAGCAGTTGGTTAAGTTCGATTGAATTGAAACTGGCCAAATTCAGAATACTTAATGGAGCAAGTATCCAATTATACATAGCTTAAATTTGCTCTCAGGGAGACCCCCTCAAAGGATTCTACATGTCAAGGGCGACGAACACCCATGTGCGAACCATGGAGTGAAGTGTGTCACAAAATGATCAAAATGAGGGAACAGAAACGAACCTGGAAAGGCCAGAAAACGACTTCAGTGGGGTGAGCAGGGTGAGCAGAGTCCATGTCTGTGAAGCGACTCCAGATGATTGAACATCTTGCATCACGATCTGCACTTTTTGGGGTCTAAAGGTTCTGATGGATGTTGGCCTTTTGCCAATCACTTGAATGCTATGCTTGTAGCCTGGCAGACGCCTCACCTGGTGTGCACACCGAACACCGGAGCGTTGCGGAGATTAAGTCTATACAGCAACCATTCTCACTTCAGAACTGTAAGAAGCTATAGGTTGCAAAAATCCAAAAATGCACAATTTCATGTGGCCATCAGCTGGTCTCTAAACACCATTCCTCCCCTTCACGCGGGCTCTAGACTCGGCTCATCTCGGCTCCATCTCTCAAGTCCGGTTCTATTGTGTCCCAGCGACACCAGATCGGTGGCCGAAACAAGAAGAACTCGACCACCCGCTCTGCACAGGATGGATGAAGATTCTCGGATGCCAAGGCCGCCGCTTTCCGCCAGATGAACGCCACCCGGCGACCGCGCTCCCGACTGTCCACCCAGGTTCTGAACAAACCCTTGGAGCCGAAGATGAAGTTTTGCAGCTTCATGTTGAATTCTGCTTCCTGTCCTTCAATCTTGGAGAGGATGAACTCCCGGTCTTTCTCCAAGGTGGCGCAGCATTCCCGCACGTCCAGCACCGCCAGACTGTCGTAGTTCAGAAACACCGAATTCTGGGAGTACACCGTGGCTCGCATGCGGAAGTTGCCATCCTCTCCAGCGATGGTATTCCCCTCCACGATCTCCGCAATGCACCACGCACGATGAAGTACCCCGAAGTGCTCATCCACTACCACCAGCTGGCCGAAGCCAATGTCCTGCTGTTGTAGGAAGTGCATCATGTCATCAAACTTGTTGATTTCGCAGCTGGCGTCGCTCTGGTCGAAGGCCTTCGGCACCTGGCAAGAACATACCAGAAAGGCCCGGTCGGTGACAGAGTCCCGGCGACTTCGGTCCCAGCACTTCCATCTCTCGGGCTCCCTGACTCGGTCGGGTTCGGGACCAAAGCCACCACAAATGCTGGCGTGTTGATTCACGGAGAAGGCACAAATCCAGCAAGTGGAGTCTAACTTACCCTCTGCATCCAGGTGCAGCTTCAGCTGTTCAAGGCCCTTCTTGCTCGTCAGCTGGGCAGCCACACCGGCATAAGTGTCTTTTCCTAAGGCGTCAGCCAGGACCGCAGCCACCAAATGTCCAAAGACATTGGACCAGTTGTGCGTGACCATGGTGGTTGGGAACAGCGGCTGATCCTCCCAAAGACAGGCCAAAGCCTTGCCACCACTGCCCTGCCGAGACATTGGGATGATGGCCTGCCGTACCACGTCATTTGTACTTGAAAGGCGTGGATCGAAGTGAGGCATAATCTCCAGATCCAACAAATCACCCCAAAAGCCAGTGAGAGAACGAAGCGTTAGTCCACGACCCGCCAAGTCTTCCACGGTCGCCTTGAAGATCTCCCGGTCCTCCTCACCCATATCGTCTGAGAGCCGCGTCGCGGAGCTTGCGTGGCGCCGGGTTTCTGTGCCACTCTCATCCTCAGATGGTTCCCTTCCTTGCCAAAGGATGCCAGTGAGGCAAGTTGAAGAAAAGGCCCATGCAAAGCGACGGAGTAAGCTCGCATAGTTCCAAAGCCTGCATCGTCTGGTCGCGGTACTTTCCCCCCCACCCCCCAACAAATAATCACTTCCAAACGCGCCTATTTGGTGTCAGTTCAGAACCGAAAAGAATTACATACAAACACATCTAGCCAGCGAGTTCGCGCGTTTCGAAAGTGTCATGTTTCTTATGACTTCAATGGTCTTTGACAACATTCGTAGGGCTTAGGAAGGATCACTTCCAAACACACCATCAAGTGGCCTCGCTTTTGGTGGGGTGGAATGGAGTGCGTCTGGACGCAAGACTCTCGGGAGCTGCACCTAGTCGCTGTCCATCTGGGAATTCGGGAATATTTGCGGAGCCCATCTAAAAGGTTGTCATTGGCCAAAGGGTTGTCCCTGCGGGCCATTTAACACCTTGCTTTCAGCCATATACAGATATAGCCTTCACGCAGCTTCAAATCATCGGGGTACGCATACGTAGCAAAAAGTATGTTGAGAGCTTGCATCTTCTCCTGGACACCCCAAAAAGCAAGGTCACGCCCGCTGCAACGGCCCCGCGCGATTTGCGCGTTCTCACATGCATCTTCGAGTCGTTTTTCACAACCCCTCTGGCACTTTATGGCGATGCCTTTTTTAGGTCAATTTCCGTTTGAATGTGTTTTTACACCACAAAACGCCTCTCAAATCGTAACTCCATTGTGAAATGGCAGTGCGTTCGGGGACCCGGAAGTAAAAAAAAACGTATCTTTAATACCCCCTTTGAAATTCATATGGCTACTTGGGTAGCACAACTTCACACTATAGATCCACGCCCCCCATGTGGGGGTCTCTATAAAATCATGCCCCCCAACTCATGCACACGCTATAGAATCAAAGCCCCTATGTCGTGAAGTGAAAGCTCACGGAAAGTATGTATGAAGTATTCAACACTAAAGAATCACAACCCCCATCTCGCAAACCAAATCCTTGTAATACTATATGCTCAAAGGACTCTGATTCTATAGCATTTTCCGATGTGTTTTCGATGAATGTTTCCGACAACATCTTCAAGCCATAGCCAACCAACTTGTGTTCGTATGTTTGCTTGCTTTTTCATCATGAGCCTTCCACGGGAAAGTTGACAGAGCACAAAATTGAAAGAACAGAGAACAGGTGAAAGAGCACCCAAAAAATGACTGTCACTAAAAAAAGCACTCAAAGGTTGTTCCTCTATAGAATCATGATCCGTCAATGACCATCAACATGTCTGCCACTAAGAAATCAAAGTCCCCATGTCACCAGTACAAAGCTCACGGAAACATAGATCTCAGGGTTCTATCACTTTAGAATCACGACCCCCAGGTCAACTAGGTCAAGTTGCACCCTTGTCGGAAACTTCCCGTGGTATCTCGTGGTCTCCTTTTAGAATCGAGGAACCTGAGTGATTCAACTCTATAGTGCTATAAAATGGGTGCTCGGGAGTACCCAGGTGGCACGATTCTGTAGGGAAAATTTTAAAGGGGATTCTTTAATCGTTTTTCTTTTTTTCATGGAACCTTAACACACTTCCACTCCCTCCACTTCTTTTCACGCGTTCCACTCCTTCTGTGCCATCTGACCCAACTTCTGCAATTGGTGCTTAGACGGTGTATTACAGCGCCACACAAAGCTTTCTGGGATCTGTGCATTCAACCCGCCATTGGATCGTTTGGATGCCAACTCTTTCGGGACATACTTCTTCAGGGATGACCACCCCACCCCATCCCCACCCCACCCCATCCCAACGTAGCATCAACTTAGTTTGCAAGTGCAAGCGAACGTTAACAGACCCCACCCCATCCCCAACGTAGCATCAACTTGGTTTGCAAGTGCAAGCGAACGTTAACAGATCCCACCCCATCCCCGGCGTGAGCAAAAACAATCCTTCCGCTGGGAGGCGTATTTCCTGAAAATAGGTGTGCTTCTGCAGACTATTCGGCAACCCAGGTTAAATGTTTGAATCGATTCTGCATATGGTTTTATCTCTCAAGTCTTGTGTTTGACTCTGCTTGCTCCAGTTGTGTAGCTAGCAGGCCACTACCGCTTTCTTCAAGCAGCTTTGCCCTCCTTGGATGAATGTGATGTGCTCTCTTTTTTTGAACAGTTCTCTTCAGAAAATCATCCCGTCGGAATTGCTTTCCCCTCGCCTTCCTCTCAGTGTCCCGTAGTCCTCTTCAGAAGCTAGCTTCAAGACTCGAATGGCAAAGATGCAGGACCAGGCGACGAAGACAGTAACACCAAAGAGAAAGACAACCGTCAGCTCTAGCCGCAACACTTTAGCAGCCCAGATCATGTTCCGACGGGCCGAGCCCTCGACTCGGCTCGCTTCCACCAGCAGGACGTGCAAGCCCCGGCTCAAGACCAAGCAAAACTTCGCAGTATAGGTTGCAAGAATCACTAGGAAGACCGCCAAGAGCAGTATACTCAGGAGCAATGAGAAGGAAGTAGTATCAAAGTACCTCTGTATCACATTGACCAAAACCTGGGCAATAAGGGCTAGGGACATGATGTAGATCCACCCACAGGGCAGCTCATTTTTGGACAATTGCAAGGAGCTGATGTGGCACCGGAAGGCACCTAAGGTCCAGGCCAAAACGACCGATTCAATGCTGTAGGCCATGCAAAGAAAGAAATCCATCAGGTGGTTGCTGTCATGTGCCAGACGTTCATTGGCTTTGGCTACTTCATACAATATAATGGCCAGCAATTCCAGCCAGCTCCCAAAGACACACCACTTGGCATCGTATGCAAGAGCGGAGGGTGGGTGCCGCTTGAACTGGCAACAAGCGATGAGCACCATGAAAATGACCATCACAACCAAATTGAGCCAACGCCGATCAAACATACCTGTTGCTACGGAGGGGTCAATCCCGGGCCACAAAAGCCAGGGGTAGGCCGCTGTGTAAGCACTCACCAGCCACACAACAGCACAGAGAACCACCTTCACAAACATGGATGCGCCACCCTGTATCCCTGAATTTGGCACGTGAAAGAAGCAGAGGCCCAGTCCACAAGCCAATCCTAAGAATGATGTCTTTAGATCTATCCATGACTCATCAAATTCGGCCACGGCAAGCAAGGTAATCACCACCAGCAGGAAGACCAGGTAGCTCATACGCCGCCCGAGAGTTGCGATGAGGGTCTCAAGTTTTGGCAGCTGATCCGACCGTGGTCCGGAGAGGGTCGTCGCCAGCAAGAACACCAAGTACGCCGCACATCGCTTCAAAGCTGAGATCATTGTCGAAGCTACAATGCATAGACCTGTCATGCCAGTGTAAACACCTTGACCTGTTCTTTATTTGGATACATATGTAGGTTTTGGTGCATCCAAGCATGTTTGCATTGAAGTAGTATCATCGTCAAGCCCGACATGCGTGATTTGATCCATTGACGCCTTCTAAATGTTGCCCTCGGGTGGCGAAAACAACAAGCATGCGCTCAAAACTGTGCAAAGAACATCCCCTTCTAGAGTAAGACGATACATCTAGTGCAAAAACTGCAGCACACAACCTCCCAGAAGGGTGTGCACTCTATCAAATTGAAACAGCTGACATTGATAGTCAAAAATATCACTATAGAATCACAAAGCAAGTAGCCAAAATGGAGTAGCACAAACCAGGAAAAGTATATAAATTCATAGGCCACCATGTACCGTCGAACACCTCGTTAAGCAAAGGCAAAATAGACGTATCTTGCTATAGAATTGCCTACCCTACCCCAGCCCGCCAGCCCCTAACTGCACATCTAGATCTAGATATCTACAAAGCAAAAGTTGAAGGTTGGGCACTGGGTTTTACAGAGAGTTGAAGGTTGGGCACTTGCTTAATAAGGATGGATGGGTGCGGTGACTTTATGGAGTGCAAATGTTCAATGATGAGAGTCCGCAACTCACAACCTTGAAAATGCAAATGCCAAACAAAATGTGTTATAAAATTGAAGCAGCCAGGATCCAATCTTTTGCAACATGCAAGAATCACGTCACTATAGTGCCATCGGTCTCTACAAGATCATAACACATGTCCAATTGCAAATTTTCGTCCTCAAACCAGCACAACGGTCCGTACTTAAAAAATGTCTTTTTCAATGCCCAATCCCCTATGATTGTATAGAGGAAATTGCCACGGGGATGCACAACCATAAGGATCCCCACCCACATCGCTGCTGTTGACAAACATTGTTGCATAAAGTTTGCCTGAAGCACGATTCACAAAAGCTTGCACCCAACGCTTCGCCATAAAACTCCATCAAAGGATGTGCGCCAGGGACATGTTCGAGTTTATGTTGTGCCTGAAATGTCCTGTGGAGACATCGAAGGCCTGAAGCCTTATGGTGAAGGCTTCCTAGTCTTGCCACATGCAGGTGTACAAGCGAGTTGTTTTCCACGTATACAAGCGAGTGATGGCCTGTCAGGCTTTTGTGTGGCTTTCTAGTTTTCTGGGAGGTCTTTCATTGAGCCTCCAACCTCCTCTTCCCCACCTCGAGGCCCGCACATTCCACCCTCTGCCGGGATACAGCTCAGCTCGACATACAGCTCACGCAGCATACCCCAGTTATTGATGGGTTGATGTTCTGCAGAACTGCGCCCAAACCTGGCCTTCACCACCGGGGGCGGCAAGGGATTCTCTTCGGCCCAAGCCCTGCAAAAGTCGAAGTCCAGCGACCGAAGCGCACAGAAGAAAGGAAACACCAACTCAAGGGACCCGGGAATCAGCGACTTGAAAAAAAGCTGCATTCACGGGCTCAAGGACAAGACATCTGTCTCCTTGGGTTCCAAGTGAACCGTCCAGAGCCCCTTCACAAAAGGGAGTTAAAGGTTTTGTGCGGCCATCTGGCAGTAGCACAAAGGCTCCTGAAACATGAATCTCCCCTCGCCAGGTGCCAAAACCTTGCGACATCATACACAAAATTACACAAGTGCCTCCCAAAACGGCCTGTGCACGAACATCTAATGGGAAAAGTCATGAAGTGGCCACTTACCTTAGTCACCCAAATAGTTACTGGTTGGTGATTTCAACTCAGACTTAAACATATTAGTTAGTGGGCTCAATCATCCCAAGTAAAGCTTATCTGAAACCACTCAGTCTAGCCACCTCAATACCATAGACCCAGAGATCCCCAAGCAGCCACTACCTCACCGAGCGGCGCTGGTGGTGCCAGTGGTGCAAGGGCTCCGCCCAGGAGGGCACTGCGGCGGCCCGTGGACAGCCTTGGGATCCGTCCCAAAATCCATTGCGTTCACTTAGTAGCTTCTTGTTACTAGTAGTAATGGCCTCCAACCTACTACTGGTACTAATGGCCTCCAACCTACTACTAGTAGTAATGGCCTCCAACCTACGACCCGCGATGGCCTCCACCTAGTCTTTCGTTAGAGTCAGACTTGCCAAACCTCTTTCAATTGTTGTGTCTAGGTAGATATGTATGTGAATCTATTTTTGGAAGGGGATCACATTAGGGCTCGAGATGGCCTGTAGCTCAGGGAATCTCAGAACCCCAGTGGGGAAAATCCCAGGTCCGCCACGGCTTCGGCGCTTTGGCACTTGATAGTGGCCAGTGCGGTTGACTTCTCACGACTTGACGGGACATACAATAGATGGGCGCGCCAGCTTTCAAAGCCGGGCGTGTGGTCTTGTGTGCTTCGAGGGCCTCCAGCAGACCATGGAGGAAGATCTCGGGCTATGCAACTTAGAGGCTGGTATGGTTGGCTAGACCCTTTGTAGGAAGTACTTGTCGTGTACTTGCCTTGTGCAAGAAAGAAGGGCATTGATTGTGATGGAGCCAGACACCATGGAGGAGTGTGGTGTTCTTTTCAGCCAGCCACGGATTCGTGGAGATATGCTGTGGTGATTTGATAGCTTTCTGCAGAAGTCTTTGACGAAAGCATGAGATTGAGATTCGCCTGTGTGCCATGATAGCTTTCACCATGTGGCGTGATGGTTTGGGGCCATTAACTTTGGCGAATGCAGCGCAAACGAGGATCCGATTTAATTTGTCCTTTGATTTGTCAAGAGAGTAGGTAGCTGCATCGACTGATAGCTGGGTCAGACTGTGCAGACAAAGGAAAGTTTTGCTAGCTGTCATTTGTTTTCCACGTCCTTTTTATGCTTTGTTATCCCACTTTCGAGAAGTGGGGTAAAGTCGCCCTCCTGTCAAGAACCTGAAGCATTTTGTAGGGCTCCTTTGCGATTCTCAGGCACCCTCGAAATTGCAAAAGGCTTGTATATAGTGTGGGCGCACCTGTGCGTGCCTGTAATGTGTAATTCGTGCAAGGGTGCCACAGGCTTGACCTTTAGGCGCTAAGAAAAACAGGGGGCCACATGGGCGCACATGGGGGCCAAGAGTTTCTCTACACCATATGTCTATGGAGACTATGTATGGTATATATCCAGGTTAGACTGCAGATCCACCTCCCAAAGAAACCACTCCTGCAGTTCAGTGGCGCAAAGGCCCGACCCACTGTGGCCTTGGGTCATGCGGTCGTCGCTCGCACGTAACTTGGGGGGTGGAAGGGGGTGAGCTTCCCAAACTTGGATGGAAACAGGTTCAACAATATATAGGGGCACTCGGGCACATTTTCAGCCAGCAGTATTGGTTGGTGTGTC